AAATTATATTTTCCAGTGGCCCTAATCCTCTTTCGGAGACAACACATAAGAACAATAAAAAAGGCAGAGAAGTCTGAGAAAAAACTCAAAATTTTGACTTTAATCTTAAATTTCTGACAAAAGGCAAAATTTTGACATTTTTTTCTCAGAATTTCTCAGACTGACTTTTTCCCTCAGAATTCTAAAATTAAAGTAAATTCTGAGAAATTTTGAGAAAAAAATCAAAATTTTGACTTAAGTCATAATTCTGACTTTAATCTTCATCATCATCATCATCATCATCATCATCATCATCATCATGGATCTCAATGTTAGTTTTGATCAGACTGATGCTTCCATCAGATCTCTTTCCATAGGAGAGCAGCTCAAAGCTTGTTGTATTTTAGATATTAACACCTCACTTTGTCACCAAACAGCTGATTGTGTTATTGTTGTGTTATTGTTGAACTTATTGTTCTGCAGCTGCTCTAAGTCCACCATGAGTTCTTGTTCCTCCAAGCTAACGGCTCCTAATCTGTTGAAAATGGCTCAAACAGATGTTCCTTCTCTCCCTGGTTAAATGTATTTACTGACACTCAGTTCTTTATTTTTCTGACTCTTTGTTGTTACTTTGACAACAGACTGACACAATACTGAGTCACAGCTGGTCAGAGGATGGATCAAACAGCAGACACGGTTACACAACATGTGTTATCTGGTGTAAAACAGCTTTGAAACTGAACGAATTGTAAAAACAGACAGAACCAACCTCGATGAGCGGCCCGTCGGACTGGATGATTTTGATGACGACCACCATGGGGATGCAGATCATGGAGGCCAAGGCCAGAGTCCAGCCGACCCCGATGGCCCAGTCAGGATACTGGTACACCTTGTTGTACGTCAGTGGCTTGTATTTAACCAGAGAGAAGATAAAGCAGCCCTGCAACACAACAATAACACATTTACTGACTGTAAAACTGAGAAAACAACTTAATGATGACGTCGCTCCACATCTCTGAGCTCTGAAGCTCAAATCCTCACCATGCACAGTAAAGGAGTGACAACAGTCCAGCTCCATTTCATCCACGGATTTGGTTTGTAGCCAATCATGTCCTCGATAGCAACATAAAAATTATCAGCGCCTGCAAAGACAACAGGCTCAGTGACAGAATGCTCCTCGCAGGATGTGTTTCCCTCCAAATCTGAAAGTTCTGCAGATGTTAAAGTGTTTAAAGTGCCTGTGACATCAAGTTTTTGCAATAAACATGAATTCATTTTTGGAAAGATAACACTGATGACTTATTGCAAAGTAATTTTCATGCTGCTGAGATGAACAGCTGTTGAAATGTTTGCATGAGAAGTAACAGGAAGTGATGTCGAAGGGGAACGTCTGAATGTGAACAGAGCGTCGCTACAACTGCTAACAAGACAAACTGTAGAGAAGAATCTGTTTCTTCAGGTCATTTTGAATCACTACCAGAGAGAAGAAGAGTCAAAGTTTAAAAAATAATGTTTCAATAAACAAATACCAGAGAGTTCTCTTTATTAAAGAGTTCCTCTTTGATGTCACTTCCTGTTTCTTTTTGGCTGAGACAAGTTGAAGAGAAAATCTGCCAATTATGTGACAAAATGTCAAGTTTCTTAAATATAAAGATTTTTTCTTTGACTTTTTATATTTGAAGAAAACTTTCTTCTACTTAACAAACTTAGCAAACCACACATTATTTTACCCATTTTAGCCTTGGGTTGGCAAAAGGGAAACAGGAAGTGACATCAAAGGGGAACTCCTTTGAGAAAAATAACTCACTGGTCTTTGTTTATTGAAACATTGTGATTTGAACTCTGACGTTTTTGTTTGTTTCTGTCTGATAGTAGCTGTGTTTCCATTGACCACGAAAATGTGCAAATTAGAATTTCTAAAATAAATTTGCTCAATGGAAACACGTCAATTTCGAAAAAAATTACGTTTTTCGACAAAATGTTTTTGCACTAGGATGAGGTGGTTTTTCTGCCGTATCGAAATTGGTGTTTTTCGCAAAACTACAATGGAAACACTTTTTTCACATCACGGGAGTCACATGATCAAGAACCGTCTGTTTCTACTGGTAAAAAGACAAT